CATTATTGCCGATACTCGGACCGCTCTCGCCGGCGTCCTCTTCCGTTTCCCGATAAAGAAACGGGGAAAGTATTGTCCGAACGGGACACTTCATCTCTTCTCACGCTCTTCACCGCGTTTGCCTAATTAAATGGATACTCGTAAGTCAATTAATGGGTACACTTCTTTTCGCGGGACAGATTCCCGACGAAATGCTTCGCTTCCGATTTTCCAATTGGCGATCGACACGACCGGCGGACCGTTCCTAGTGCGGTTATTTATTTTCCTACGCTGTTACCGAGTAACCGATAAAGGTCGTCGAGAAAGTAGGGTGGAAAAGGGATCTGGCATGCGAAACGAATCAGCTGAGGCTAAACTATCCGCATACGTTTCATCGAGTTTCCTCTTTCCGACTCGTTTGCCAGGGGCGCGAAATATTACCGATATTTTTCAAGGGAGAGAAATCCACCCCCGAAGGGTCAGTATTCGCTTGGCAGAAGGGTAACATTGACCAATCCCGCGCGTCGGCTCTGCCACCCCTTACAGCTGACCAATCGAGCACAGCTTCGACGTGTTTGGTCGACTGGTCCCTTTAGGGTTACCGTCTAAGCCTAACGAGTCTCGGTGTTCGTTAAAATTTTACGCCGCGAGCATGACGCAATTTCCCTGGGAAATGTTTCAATTATGCTCGTTTTCACGTACAACATGTTAGATTTCTCGTCGCGATATTAATATCCGCATTACCAGGAATTTATTAAATGTTACTCGAAGGCGAAGTATGTAAGGGTCTCTCAATAGATTTTTCTCTAATAAGGGTGAAATACTGTCCAATTGGTTTTATTCGCGAAGACAATCTGATAAATTCATCGCAGTAATGAATTTAAGAAATTTAATACCTTCGGCTTTAATGGTATTACGAGATTTATTTCTGGAAACCCTATAGTTGGCCATAAAAATAGGCAAGTATCTCACTATCGATTTGCACATCTGATAACATATCAATACACTCTATTTATAGCACAATAGTCAATAGATTTTAAATTTTCGGCTTAATCTCTGACCTACTGAATTTAATTACTCTATAAATAAAACGTTGCCTCTAAATCTTAAATTTTTCCACATTTAGACTCTGCTGACTAATCTCAAAGTAAAAGTATTTATTCATGTTTCCCACTGAATATTTTACCAGTAACCTGAATAAAAAAACCTTGCTATCAGATTAATCAACTGTATTTCTATTAATCGAAATCAATTAGGCAGCTGCACTGAAATACTAAACAGTAGACTCTAAATTTAGCCCTGGCTGGCCTGGACACGAGCAGGTCGCGAAAAGATCGATTGGATCGAAATTAATTTTCCAGGTAACCGGGCGCCTTCGTGGTCCGAGAGCTTTTGCAAAATTCACGCACCTACTCACGCACATACACGTACACAGCGAGCTAAAGCTTGATACCGGGGCTGGCGAGATAATAATGATGAAGTTCGGTGTCCGTGTAGCTCGAGTGGATGGCAAGAGGAAGCAAGAGAGAAAGACAGAGAGAGAGAGAGCAAGAGAAAGCCGGGAGGGTTGGAAGCTGGGGCGGAAGGAGAAAGGCAACTCCGTCCGGACGTGGGGGGTTGGGTTATACATTTGAGTACATAAATGTATGTAACTTTGAGTTTGTGTTGGAGTGGGCGTCGGCCATCTTGTCCGGTGGGTATTGACCGAGGCGACCGCCAGGCGAGAGACATGCCATGGCGGGCAAACCACCTCTAGTTACTACCCCCGGCGCTAATTGCTCTTATTAGTTAAATCCGTGCGGTATCGTCGCCGACTCGCGACACGGGTACATGAAAAAAAATCCTTCGCTTCCGTCAGTCTCGGAACCCCCGATCGTCTGCACAGCTACACTGTGGCCATAATCAGTGGAACAATGCTATTCTAAATGTTGCGAGGGTACGGAAATCTTTTATTCTTTTCCCTCTCATAAACTATACATATTTCAGTAAGTATGATAGGAGTTCATAACGTTGAAGAAAATGCTATTAGATTTTTCTACCGAAGCATTGAATTGATCGGGTACAGGAATATAGAGATAAACAAGTAGAGAATTTTGATTACTACGCAAATAATCCGGTGAATTTGCGATAACTACGGTATAGTTGCGTAGGAAAGTAAAAGTTGAAAGTTTCAGAAGTAAGTTTGCTGAAACCTGTCCGGCCCGAATCGATGAATATTTATGCTCACCATTCACCTTTTTAAGGAACCTTATTCAAGCAGTTGAAAATAATAAACAGTTTAATATTCATTCTACTTATTTCTGTTTAGAAAATGAAAGGCGACTCGAGCTCTGGATGAAACTTCTATGAAAAAAGAACGGTTGTTTAATCGAAGCTCCCAGCATCGCGTAGCAATTACTCTTAAGATTTTTCTTTAAGTCCAAGTTCTCCGCATCAACATTTATCTTAGAAGTTCTTTGATTTTCTACTGTTTCTGTCACGCTCATCTGTCGATGTTGTAGACACGAAGAATAGCGAGACAAGTCCGGAAACTTTCATAATCAATGTGAAAGATCACAATCAAATCTAATTCTTATGATAGAAACAAATCTCTATTTCTTCTTCTTACCGTTCTAATAATTCTACTCCTAACAACCATTGAACTCGGATGACTGTAACAAATCGTGAGACGAAAGCTTGATACTAATTACATTAAAGTATTCGAGTAGCAGTGAACATTAGCAAATCTGTATTTGATAAATCTTAAATAACTGAACTGCAAATATTTGACGCCGCGATAAGGATTAAATCCAGTGTCAAAGAAACTAAAAGATACGACGAACGAAGAAACGCGGAGGTACCAATAATCGTTGCCCGGCAACGAATTGCGGAATGTCTCACAATCAACGGGCGTCGTGTCTCGTGTCGTTGGAATTCAGCAGAACGCAACAGCAAGGTCCGTCCGAGGGCACTACGCGAGCGGGAGAAACAGAGGCGAAAGCGGTGTAGCTCTCTACGGTTTGCGGCCAGCGAAAATTCCGAAGGATTCGTCCTCTTCGTTCGTCGCTCGCCGCAGCGAGCGTGTGTACGCGCGGACTCTAATTCACGCCGGTATTTCGCGCGGCGTGTATTTTAAGGCTAGCCTCGGCTCTAAAATTCCACCCTTGCGCCCGTGCTCGCCCACCCTGCCCCCGTACCTACGCTCCATCCCTCTTTCATCCTCGACTGCTTCGTGTTTCTCTCCCATGTACTCCCACCCCCCAGCCTGCAACCTTCTACCCGTCTCGCTCTGGCTCCTTGGCCTTTCCGTTTGCCCCTTTCGCGTTCCGTCTCTATTCATCGGCAACGGCACGTTCGTCCCTCTCGTTTCGATACCCGAACCCACCCCCTGTTTCGACCTCTCTCTCTCGCACCCTCTCTGGTCCTCGAACACACGAGTATCCGAGGTAAGTATAGGTAGATAGGTAGGTAGTACGTGCTCGTGGTAGTGTGTATAGTAGCTGTAGATATAAAGGTTGTCGAGGGAAAGCGGGGATGAGACGAGTAAAAGGGAAGGAGACAGATCGAGAGCGGAAGAGAGACGGAGTGAGCAACAGAGACACATCGCGAAGTGGGAAGAGGAAAGCGGAAAGAGGAGAAGACACGGATGTAGAGAAACCAAACGAGAGAGAAAGCCGAGAGACTAACTCCGAAAGCAGAGAGGGCCGCAACGAGAGATAAAGGGCGCGAGGGAGATAGAGAATTCTTGGACTTCGTGTGGTAGTGCAAGGGTTCGTTCGACCCTTAAGGGGTTGTGGCTAGCATCAGCCCCCCTTTGCCCCAGTCCTCAGCCACCGCTATCCCCTTTACCGACCTCTGCAGCTTCTCTTCGTATACTCCTTCCCAGTCCTTGTCGACCACCCAGTTAGCCACCCTCGTAGCCACCCCACGACCGGCAAAACTACCCTACCGCCGGCGGCCATTTTACTCTCCCTTCGCCGTGGACTCGCCAAATTGTAATCCGAGGCCCTGGAATTCCGGGCAGAGCAACCGTGGTCCGGCCTCAAAGGAGGCTTCCTTCGCCTCTCGACTTACCCTTGGATAATGATTAACGGAGTGCTCCTCTTTCTCGCCTCCACTTCGCCCGCCGCCCGACGCCCCCGCGCACCAAACACAAACAAAGAGCGGCCACGCGCGTTTCGGATCACGACCGACTCGAGCCCGGGCCCGTAATAACGCGCGAAACATCGCGGAAATTTTATTCTAGTCGCGCGCTACGGTCCGGCCGTTTGATCTCGCACAGACGCGTGCTCCGACGAATGAAACTCCTGGCTCGACTCTTTGAGACTTTCGAACGAGACGGTTTCTACATCTACCTGCCCTTCTGAAAGGACTGACGCGCGTTTCGGACGAATGCGGCGCTTCGTCAGTGAGATACGATTTACAGAACCGTATTTCGCTCGAATTTGGATGTTTTACATGATACACTGATCACAGTAAAGATTGTCAAATTTTATACTGCAAGATGTAAACGTAAATCAATTTCGACTGCAGTACACGAACGTGGCAATGATTGTTAAAGAAATTGGCTGAATGATTCGACTTCGTAAAGATGATATTGGTTCATTGAACGATTTCGATTCGGCCATCATCGTCGCGAAATCTGTCGTTAATTCGCAAGTACGTAGTGCAGCGCGCGAACGATCCGAGAAACGCGTAGACAATAATTCCATATCTCGGCTGGTTCGGGTTTATCTGATTGGGCGAGAGCGGTATCGCTTTGGAAATTCGCGATTATCTGTTTATTGCGCGGTTAATGGAGGTCGTGCGCCTAGTCGGAACAGCGTCGAGATCTCGTCTATGCCCGATATTGGCCAATAATGTAGCACGTACTTACTTACCTTGTATCGGCGTGTCTGTTCGGCATCAGCTGAATAAAATTAACGCTTCGTGAGAAGGAAGACCTGCGACGGGAATACGGGACGGGAGCGTGATGAACCGCGGGTCAGGACCTTTTCCATACCGTCGTTTATTTTCATCATCTATCTTCGATCGTTTCTCTCGGGCACACACACATTCCTCTCTTCTCAATCACTCCGATAAATGCCGGTGATAAATCGGCTTTGACGCGATGACTGTCATAATTAATATCAGCATTGATTGAATGAATATAAAAGTGAATAATGAAAACTTCATAGGTTCCGAATATTTAGCTAAACTTAAATGTCAGTTATTTTTACTCTCATACATTCATAACGAAATTTCTAATTAGCCAACGCTGCAGAATTTATGTTTATGCACCAGACTTATTTACGGTAAGGATACCTTGACAGTCAAGACGTCTACACCGTCCCGAATAGCACATTATCATTATTTATACGTAACACATTCGACATTATTTATCCGAAAGAATTCCACGCTTTGTCAGGAAGTCGTATCGGACAGTTCGCTCTCCGTGAGATGCCTGCAACAGGAAACGAAACAAAAATGTATCAGGCACTGGTTAAACTTCAATGAAGATATTAAAAGATTTATTGAAAATAAAGATAATATTAAAAATGCAGGCTTATAGCTGGAAGTGAATTGACTTATGGCCTCGCGCCTTCGAGCATTATTTATCTAACTTCCTAGTAGATTTTATCACCTCGAATATAATTTGTTGTGCAGCAACATTAGTGGTCGCGGCAACATTTGTCATTCCGTGCGCGCGCCTCTGTGTTGACAGGACTGGCCCCGTTTCGAGGGCGAAGTTCACCGTGAAAACCGGCCTGGGAACCGGATCGCCAATGAGAGAACCGGGGGCCTTGTCGATCCTCGCGTCAACCGACCACAATCGCCCGTGTAGACAAATTCGCGTCAGTGGTGATCAAACCCCGGCATTTCGGTGAGCCGTTACATCGTAATTCAATAGCGTCGCTTTAATATTTAGCAGTCTGATTCTGTCGAGCGCCGGTGATACAGAGGGTGGAAAATAATCTCCGTTTACTTCGTTCACGAAACACCAATTAAGAAGAAAGTTTTTTTAGAATAATATTATGAATTGATTTAGTGAAAGTAAAAGCAGACTGTTTAAAGAAGTGTTGCGTCCACGATGAAAAACTTGAACGGAAGAGGATATAACTGCTCTGAGCGAGGTAATATCGAAGTTTACAATTTGATTAAAAAATCGAGTTACTGTGCGGTGAAAAATAAAACGATTTTGATACCCCTCACCCTCCCTTTCAGGAACGAACGTCAAATGAAATTTTGCAGAATTAAAATGTTTTCTTCATAAATTTTCCGCGCATCGGGGAAGAGCGTCTCGGATCAAATAGACCGCGAACGTAGTAATAGTAGGGGGCTTAAATAACAAGCAAATTAGAGAAACGAAATTCGTTCGATCAGCAGAAACGAGCAACGCCACCAGACCGGTTCTCGGAATCGGTTTTAAAATTTTGATATCGTTCGACCCATGGATCTCTCGCCGGAGAGAAAAATGGCTTATGGGATTCCAGCTGATCGTTCATTTGAGGAACGTTCACCGGGATAGTCGGGGACCGATCGCTCTGTCCAATTTTCTGGATTTCTCGTGCACGAGAACTTCTTGCAGATCTGAAAACGAATGTGAAACGAGGAAGCCTTCCTATCCGCGATAGAGATGGGAGAAGAAACACGGAATGAGGAGGGAAAGAGATGGGAGTTAGGGGAGGCAAAGAGGAGTTTCCCAACGATGCTTTGGCTCCTCACCATGTACATCCCACGCTGTACACATATCGACATCGGTCATGCATGACAGGACGCCTGACTGGCCACGCCGGTAAAAACGAGGAAAACGCGGAGAATACAAACTCGCCTCGTTCCTTTCGCGTCATTTCAAGACCCTCTTCTCCGTCGACTTCTTCTCGTGCTTGTTTTTTTTATGAAATACACCCGACGCAGGAGAATTGTTACAAAAAACGTGATACCTTTGATGGCGCGAAAAATTTAGGAAGTGCGATCATTGTGAAAGAGATAAAGTCGGCCAGCAGTAAACGTATTACATGAAAATAACTCTGAACAGTAACCACTTTTTAAAGGCTATTGATAAATTGACTAATATAAATGCCTCGCGACGAATAGTTCTCAATTTTTATCTAAGAGCCGTGTCCCGCTCGGTGGCAGACACGGAATGTGGTTAAGAAGGAAAAACGAGCTATCGGTGTGGTTGTCATAAAAGTGGAGGGTGGTAATCGAAGCGCAGGGGGATGCAAACCCGTGGCGGTGGATTCGCGCGCATTACGAGGGCTGGCAATCTCGTCGTGCAGTTTTTTAGCGACCAGAGGACCGTGTGTCCGCCGCTGATAAGGGACACCTTTATCAAAAATTCCGAACGCCCTTCTTCTTACTCGCTGTTCTCCCTACTTTCGCGGCGAGGTGTCCAGAAAGGGATTGCAATTTTCGGTCGAGGGCACGGAACAACGTGATTCTCGAATTTATGATCCGACGGCCATAGCGGGTCTCGGTTATTGAGAAAATTCCACGGGCGCAGCGACGCATCGCGTCGTGATGCCGTCGTCTGTTTGCGTGCCAACCGAGACGAGGAGTGGACGATTTCCCGTTGCCGGTCGAAATTCGAAAACGAGCGCGAAAATCCGGCGAATTTCCAGAACAGTGCATCGTATCGATTCGAGTTTCCGTGGGCGTTGCTATGAGATGGACCCTTGTACAGCACGGCGAGAGAGCGTGAGAGAGCAAGACGGATTGGAGAATGAGCGAAAGAGTGAGCGAGAAGGGATGAGGCTCGCAGAGAGAGGTCTTGAGTGTCGCCAAGCTACCCTCCACCTCCTTTTACCTCCTCGCGACAACCCCGTGGCTCGGTCCCTTCCTCCGCTCGCCCTCTCCTCACCCGTGTTCTCTGCGCCTGTTATTACTTCTACAAATATACAAGCTATCACATTCGGTGATCGAACTCTCGAGACCCGCGCTGCCGGTAAATTCGATGGAATCGGCCGGCTAATACCGCTTCAAAGAAACGCGCCGCGCCTTAGACTTTCGCCCTTTCGAGAGCTACGCGATTCTTCCACCTCCGATTCAACGTCTCCATCTCTTTCCTGCTCTCTCGCCTCACCTGCGCTTCTTTCTCTTCATCCTTTGTTCGACCTACGTGTCTCGAGTAGGAAATAATGTGAAAGATCGCGGAGCATCGAGCGAAGAATCGGACGTAGGAGACTCGACGCTCCTCCTTATTGTCCTTCCACGCGGAATCTCTGAACTTGACGCGGGAGCAGCCTCGGAGAAGAAAGAGGAACACGCGGAAGCAGACGTTAAGATAGTTAGATGAACCGCGTGCCACGTGAATGGCAGAAGATGGAACACTTGTCTTTTTTATATTATTATAGTTCCTTAGTCTTGTGCTTGTAATTGCGGTGTGATATTCCAAAATTGATGTTCTATTGTTTTCAATATTTCTATTATTACATCAATTTTTATTGTTGACAGATTTTTTTCTAATTTTATTGGTCTATCAGTATCCTTTGTTGATTGCTATAATCGTTTAATGTAGTAGAGATGCTTGATCGTTAGGCAAAAAGCACACTCTAGCACTTGTCAAGTGGAACAGGTTGGTCCAGCATCCGGTCAGACGAGATCAGAGATCATGGGTTAATCTGTCCATCCAGTTGTGGACCGTGCGAATCCTGTTTGGAGGGATGCTCCCTTCAAACATTCTCGTCGACATCGTAAATGAGATTGTAATTTCAATCATAAATCATTCCGAATTCAAATCCAACAAAACACCGGCAAACGTCTTCATCGTTATCACAAAGTATTTCGCAACGTTGTCAACGATTTTTTCATTGTTGCCAAGTAGAATGAAGTCCAAAACTTTTCTATCGAAGTTCTTCAATCTTGGTAATACAATTTTCTAATAATCTGACTTAAGATTTAAGACGTAACGTAAAGCAGTTTGCTAAAAAATGTCGTTCTTTACCAGAAAATGAAGATGGAAATAATATGTATGATAGGGTTTATTATCTTTTGATGAAACGTTTTATCTATTGACATAAGAAAAATTAACGAATTTATATTATATCTACATACATGTATACATATGTATTTTGTCCTACGTAAGGTAGTGTCTTAAATTAAGATCTTCATTTAGGAATATGTGTGATTAGCATCAGATTCCGATAACGATCCTTCAGACACGCGTAATAAGCACTCTAATCTCAATAAAGCTTGCACACTATCGAACGAAAGATAGAAAAGTCCGGTTGTCAAACGAGACTGTTAACTAGCTACTCGTTGGTGCAAGGATCGTGTACCGCGATCCTGTTCGTCGAAACGTTCGCGTAACAACTTGAAAAAGGTCAACAAGACGTAAATCCGAGGGTCCGTATCAACGCGGGGGTGCTGAGAGCCGCGGCAACGCACGCGTCCTTTCCGGAGGACTCTCATCCTTCTTCTTTCCTCTCTTTCGTCTCCACTCACCGGTTTCGACGATGCGAGCGTACGTCACGAAATAACGGCTGGTAGCCTAGACTCACTTAATTGGGTCCGCCATTTTCGGTGGCGCGACCCCTCGAAAATCCTCATCGTTTCTCCTCCGCCCCGTAGCAAAAGGACTTCTCTCAGAAGGGTTGCCCACCGACACCGCCGCCACCACCACCAACACGTCGGTTCTGTGCTCTGTGCTCGACCCGAGTGGCTTTTGTTTTCGCCCCCAAAGAGTCCGCCATTTTGAATTTATGATACCCAGCCACTCGGGGGCTCGGACACCGAAAAACTTCGGTCGTTAGTGAAAGTTAAGAGCCCGACCCCTCTTCTATCGTCCGCACCAGACCGTGCGCAGTCATTTTCTGTAATAGCACACGGACACGCGCGTGATGGACGCGAGCTTAATGATACGCGCCTCCCTCTCCTCTTTCCTCGATGAACTGTGCAAGCCTTTGAGACATCTTTTTTTAGCGCGACGGATCTTGATGGGGTCCTCAGTTTTTGTCGAGAATCATTGTAAGGTTCTGGGGAACGGTAGAATCATTCTGCGTACGTACGAGATTTTTGTTTGTCAAAGCTTAACGCATCTGCTTGAATAAATACCTCCGTACAAAGTGATACTTTGACAGATACAATCTCTAATTTTGATTTCGTGAAACATTTAACAAAAAGAAGTTACACTAATCGGGATTTAACCGATTTAAATACTGTTTTCTTCGCAGAGATAGAGGAATTAAACCGCTACGACGAAACCTTCCCAAGAGTTCCACGTTCTAGATAATCGAGATTAAACACGTAAAGAGAGTATCTGATATCTCTCACTTGTTCCCCCTTGAGTAAAAGGTCTTTTACTGACACTCACTAAATGAAAGAAATAAACCTAAGCAATGCCTCTTAAAAAGAAAACTTTTAGTTGACTTTCTTGTAAAAATTCTTTCTCCCTATAAATTCATATTAAAAATCTCTAATGTATAGTAAACTATCCAGCAGCGAGGATGGTTGAAAGTGAAG